AAGTTCTAGTAAACAGGATGAACCAAATATTTAAGTAGAAAATTGTGTGAATTAGAAAAAAAATTGTATTCTTCATTCTCCTTGAGAAATTGTAGATCATCCACTCAATAAGTTTATTGTGAATTACCTTTGACCATAATCCCACTTGAACCTGTTCTGCCCCTTTCCCATGCCAAATTACCACCTGTGCCTAAGGCACTTGACTGCTAACCAGAAGGCTGGTGGTTCAAACCCACCAGCCACTACTCAGAAGGAAGGTTGGGCAATCTACTTCCATAATGACACTGCCTCAGAAACCCAAGGAGGGGTTGCTATGAGTTGGGACTGACTTGACAGCACATAACAATAACAACAACAGGTAAAGAACACACACCAAACACACATCTATACACCTACATGTCCATCAGTCAATACCACCATCAGCACCATCACAGTAAATAGTCAATTATGAAAACAAGCCAGACCCACCATTTGGTGCTTTTGAGACAAAAAAAAAAAAAAAAAATGTGGGCTAAATAGCATGTCTTCTTGACTATTTGAGGATGAGCTGTATCCACATGATCTTAATTAGAGGTGACAGTGTGGAGACTTTATTCCTGAAATGTGTTGGTTGGAACTCAGCAAAACAACTCAGCTTGTTGCAAACTTGCAAATCCTGTGGTACTAAATGGCCAAAATGCCACAATTGCAGTTTTTACTTCATTTGAACTGTTAACTTTTTGCTAGCAAGCAGGAAATTTACATGATTCTGATTATTAATAAATGTTGTATCATCTTAGTACCAGCACACTGAGCACAGTGGGAAGCCAACAATCACAAATACTGCGCCCAGGGGAGAGACCATGTGATATGCATGGCTCTGAAATGAAAATCCTAAACGGATTAAGGATGCTTTTATAGTTTCTGGGACTTTCCAAAAAAACTTAATTTATAATTCATATTTTAAAATAACAAAATTAATCTTAAAAAAGAAAAAAAACCAACTATATAGCAAAATAACTCCATGTTCCCACTGAGATTCTAGTAATTTTACATTAAAATCACGAAAAGGTATGTATTACCTTTAAAAACTAAGCAAAATAGCAAAAAAATAAAAAACAAAGAGAAAAAAGAAAACAAGCAGAAAAAAAAAAAAAAAACA